ACATATACATATATATATAGTCTGTAGCTCAAAGGCTAGACTTATCTACCTGGCAGGGCAACCTTTGTTTACCAAGCATTTCATTTTCTCTTTTCAACTTCCCAAAACTTGCCTTCCTCCCCTTTGAAAACCTAGAGCCCCATCCCTTTCCTTAAGCCCAGGGTGGTATGTAAGCCTAAATCTTCTGGCCGTCTGAAGTGGGGCTCCTAAAATCATAATTAAAATTGTTTTATGCTTTTAAAAATATATTTTTATTGATTTCAGAGAGGGAGAGAGAGAAAGATAGAAACATCAATGAGAGAGAATCATTAATCAGCTGCCTCCTGCACAACCCTTCATTGGGGATTGAGCTTGCAACCCGGGCATGCGCCCTGACCGGGAATGGAACTGTGACCTCCTGGTTCATAGGTTGACACTCAACCACTGAGCCACACTGGCTGGGCATTCTTTTTAAAATCTGTTTTATGTCAATTTAATTCTTAAACCAGCCACAGAAAATAGAAGGGTAGAAGAGAAAAATTTCCCTCCTCTACAATATTCCCAGCCTAAAAACTGATTGTTTGTCTCTAACACAGGTACCTTATTTATGAAAACTAAAATTCATTATAATGATTCATCTTGAAGTCAATGAATTATATTTCCGATACTGATCGAAAAGGAAATAGTCCATTATTTAGAATCAGTAGGAATGCTAGGCATAGAACAGTCGCATAATGAACCTGAGGATTATTAAATGTCATCCTGCTGTTGAACCCCTTTCAGAACCACTCAGAAATATATCTTACTGGGATACAAATGACTTTAGGCAATCAATTAACTTCATAGGCACTCTGGTGTTGTTAAATGATAAATCGAGGCAGATTAAAAGTTTTAAGAGTTTATTTGAGAAAAATTTCCATGGGCAGTGCCAAACCAGATGTGTTAGGAGGGCTCTACCAACAGGAGCTGGGGAGAGACTTTTATAGAGAAAGGGCGAAGGCAAAGCAAGGAAATTATTGATTGGCTATAGCTCAAAGCCTAGTTGACTGTGATTGGTTGTTCTTAGAGTTTGCTTTCTTAACCTTGAGGCATTTACAGGCTTGGATTTTGGTCTTCTTACAGAGGCTATGATGGCATTAGATCCACCTCAGTCTAATGCAGCAGTTCTCAACCTGTGGGTTGCGACCCTTTGGGGGTCAAATGACCCTTTCACAGGGGTCACCTAAGACCATCGGAAAACACATATGTAATTACATATTGTTTTTGTGATTAATCACTATGCTTTAATTATGTTCAATTTGTAACAATGAAATTGGGGTCACCACAACATGAGGAACTGTATTAAAGGGTCATGGCATTAGGAAGGTTGAGAACCACTGGTCTAATGGCTTCCTTGTTTAATTAATCAATTAATTTGCCAGCATTGTGAGACTATGCGGCTTAGTCAATGACTATATATCAAAGCCTTTAGAGATAAATACAAGAGGCACCTTCTAGGAACCTTCAGTCTGAGCCCATGCTGCCTACCAGAGATGTTTCTATCCCCTTGCCCCCTGCCCCAGTGTTTGTTCACTATATTACTACAAAATGCAACTAGTCCAGAAATCGAGAAAACACAAGACCACAGAGGAGCCAGGTGCTAATCTCGCCTGGGGATGCGTGGGGAGCTTTTACAGTGGAGGGAATTCTTGCAGGTTTGCGCCTGTTCTAAAGCCTGCGTGCGCATTGTCCAGGCTGAGTAAGTAAAAAGATAATGTCAGCAGGTGACTGGCTGCGGTCTGTGCAGGAGGTCTTGCTGATGCTCCTCTCCTCTTTGGGAATCAGAAAGCTCTATACCGGCAGCGCCCTCTGGAGGTGACTCAGTGTGGGAACTGCCTGAGAGGGATCGCTACATGGCCTGGTCCTGGCCCAATAAGAACGCCTCTCAGGCTGAGTCAGGAAATAAAAGGAAAATATTGAAAAAGAGCCAGAGCCACAGAACTAGGCGGGATGACTGAGGTGGTGGGGGTAGGGATGGGGGGGCGGGGGCGAGTACCAGATGAATGCCTCTGAGGAAGGTAGGAGTTAGGGTGACTGTTGAATCACTATGGGAGTCTGGCTGTGTAGCTAAGAAGGGACTTCCTTTGCTTCTGATAAAGTCGATTTGCATATTGGGACCCATACACTGGATGACACCCCCATGGCCCAGCCCAGGTCACAAATCTAAACCTAAGTCAGCCTGCACGTAAAGGAAAACACAGGAAACACCTCGAAAGAAAGCTAACAGAGACCACTGATCTTCCTCCAACTCAGCCTTAGTGAGCTCACCTCACCCTGGACAACAGTACCTGCTGGCCTGAGAAGGAAATCCCCGCCCTTCGAGCCAATCCTAACGCTCTAGAAACAAAATCCCTCTGGCAGCGGGCCCCACTGCTTGGGAGGCTCTGTACGTGCCCAATCCATGGATTGTTTTCCCTTGAATAAAAAACATTAAACTCACTACGAACTTGTTTTAGTTTTGTCATTGGAC